ATAAAGCAGAGAGTCAGCAAAAAAGGGGAAGCCCCTCAGTGAGAGGGATGGACACAGTGACCGTGATGATGGCCTCAAGCGCAGCAAAGATCGTGAGGACGGCACAGGACTGGGCAGTGTTTGTTCCATTGGGTCTTGGGTTGTTATGAACTGGAGCAGATTCAATGACACATAACAGCAACAATCTTTCTCTTTTTTTGGCTTATTTATTTATTCATTTATTTTGTTTTCTGTGTGAAAGTTTACAGAGCAAATTCATTTTCCATACAACAGCTCATACACATTTTGATTCATGACATTGATTGCAATCCCCATAATGTAACAGCTCTCTTCCCACTTCCTCCCCGTGGTTACCTTTTCTCTGCTTTCCTATGCATTCCTGCCCTCTGAGCTATCTCCCTATGGAAATACAGCCCTTCTGATCTCCCATGGTTGATTGTTCGAAGGAGTGTATCTACCTGGTATAAATGTTCACCTACCTTATATGCCTGTATATTGTTTGTCTGGAAGTCATGCAAGTGAGTTCAAGTGAGGCCTAAAGTGTCACTAGGGGCCATAGTCTTGGTAATCTCACCAGTCTCTATCAGATCAGTAATCCCAGTCTTTTTTAAATGTTGACCATATTTTTCTCTCACTTTGTCCAGGATCTCCTATTTAGATCCCCTTCCCAGTGGTTGACAGTGGTAGCCAGTCACCATCTATTTCTTCTGGTCTCAGGGTCATGTAGGCTGAGGTTCACATGGTACACTACTCCCTTGGACAAATTATTTCTATATGTCTATTCTCCTTTGCTCCATATGAGGAGAGACCAATTATTGCATCTTAGATGGCCACTTGCAAGTTTCTCAGACCCCAGTCACTACTCATCAAAGTAGGATGTAGAACAATGTTTTTGTGTAGTATATTATGGCAATTGAGCTTGACGTCCCCCATGACCATGTTCCTGAGCCCATGGGCCCAACATTTTGCTCTCTCAGGTTGGTTGGCTGTGGCTAAGAAGTTACCATAACGTTGCCCCTGTTAGTTCTATTTATATAATGATTTTAAAGCACATACAAATATGAATGTGGAAATATCGTCTGCCAAAGTTATATATGGTCATGGGTATATTCCCTTTTGCCTAGACATACCTCATTATCCTACTTATGTATCCAGTCATAGATTAATGTTAACAGAATCCCACGTCTTTCTCCCTTGGAGTGACTACTGAATTTGAACTGCTAACCTTTTAATTAACATCCAGGTGCTTATCACTGTGCTACCAGGGCTCTTATGAGCAATCAGTCTGACCTGACACCAGGGATGTTTTCTTGTGGTGACATTAATGTTATCACACTGAGCCTGTAGTGAAGTGAATGGAACTCCAGCACGATCCTTGGTTCTGTACTAAACACTATTGAAATAGTCACAGAAATGTAAAGTCTTTGAACCAGTTTGTGCTTGACTGCTAATGTAAGGCTGGCCATTTCAACCCAACCAGCAGCGTCATAGAAGAAAGCTTTGTTGATCTGCTTCTGTAAAGATTACAGTCAAGAAAACCCTATGGAACATGGTTCTGCTTTGTAACATAGGGGGGTCACCATGAGTTGAAATCAACTTGATGGTAATGTGTTTGGTTTGGTTAGTTTTCATAGGAAAAGACACTGAATTTTTGTGACTGAGCATAATCACACCTTATCAATGAAGACATAAAAGATGTGGGGTGGGAATAAGAACCAGAAAGAAGAGCGAGCAGAGGAAAGAACAGAAAACAAAACAAAAAAAAACATACTCACTGCCATCGAGTTGATTCTGACATATAGCCACCCCCATTGGGCTTTTGAGGCTATAAATCCTAAGGGAAGGAGATTGCCTCATCTTCCTTCCACAGAGCAGCTGGTGGGTTTGAAATGCTGACCTTCTGTTAGCAGTCAAATTCCTTATCCACTACACCACCAGCGCTCCTTAGATCAGCTTATACCCTATTTCACATCATATGGGTTGCCATGAGTTGGAACTGACTCAATGCCAGCCATTTTTTGTGTGTGTTTTAGCATTGTATTAAGTCAACACATGTTCAAGAAAACAAGAGGTAGTAGAGTGCTCCTGGCATCTAGTGCATGGAGACCAGGGGTGCAGCTAGACATCCTAGAATGCACAAGACAACACCACACAAAGGGTAACTCAACCCAAATTATTCAGAGTGCAGAGGGAGGGAACAGCTCACAGAACACTAGCTAGACATCATGCCAAATACTGTTCCATGTATTTTCAATAAATCAATCATTGAATCCTCACAGCCACATGAGCAGAGATATAGTTATCATCTCCGTGTTGCAGATAAGGAAACTGAGGCTTTGCGAAATTAAGTAACTTGCCCCAGCTCACACAGCGAGTTCCTGATAAAGTTAAAACTGGCACCAGGCCTCCTGGCTCCAGAGGCTGTGCTTGTCCAGTGACACAAAAAGGCTCTTTGTCCTCCTTGCCCACAGCCAAGAAGCCATAGAGTCCTTGAGAGTCAACCCTTCTGCATCCTTTCCCTCCGACTCCATCACTCTATCCCACTGCAGGCCAGCATCCTCTCCTCCCTGGACCATGGCGGTGGGCTCCAGTGGTCTCGCTGCTTCTACTTCCACACCTCTCTAGTCCTCACCCCTCACTTCTGCCAGAGTGACCTCAAAAATCCAAATCCATCCACATCTCCACTCCCTGCCTGAAGCCCTTGTCACTTACAAAGTAAAGCCCAAGTTCTTCAGTTGGGCTCTGAACTCTAGTTGGAATCATCACTCTCCAGGGCTTCCATGGAGCCCTGGTGGCACAGTGGTTAAACACACACAGTTTAACAACCAAAAAGTTTGATGATTCAAAGCCACTCCACAGTAGAAAGATATGGCAGTCTGTTTCCTAAACATTATAGCCTTGGTAGCTCTACCTTGACCCTATACAATTGCTGTAGGTCAGAATCAATTAAATGGCACACAACAACAACAACAATGGGACTTCTCCTGCTTCCCAAAGCCCTGCACCTCATTAAACGTGCTGTGCTGTTCCCATGTCTCTGCCTCTACTTGATCTGCAATCCCTGCCCCACCTTGCTTATTTGGCAAACACCTATGACCTTTTAATAATCAGCCCCAGTACACCTTCCCTGACAACCCTCTCCTCCAGGTAGAACAGATCACTCGTTTCTCTGTGCCTTCCCCATATGCTTCCACCTTCATCAAAATGCATAACTACCTCTCAGATATTCAGGTAATGCAAAATGCAAAATCAAATCCATTGCCATTGGCTCAATTCTGACTCAATTCCTCTTATGTGTCAGAACTGCACTCCACAGGGTTTTCAGTGCCTTTAATCTTATAGAAGTAGACAGCCAGTCCTTTCTTCCACAGCACCACTGGTTGGATTTGAACCATCACCCTTTCTGTTAGTACCTAAGTGCAAACCATTTGTACCACAGTGACTTTCAAACAAATGTAAAAATTTCTAAATACACATTGTTCACTTAAGAGCAGCTCCAAGTTACCCATCGACTCTAAAATACGTCACTATTTTTCTTTGTTTTTGAGCCTGTCCCTTCAAGGCAGGGACTTTGTGTTATTTCACTGATCTCTGAAGTCTGATCAAGTAACTGAGTGGTCACTCGGCAAGTATCAAATGAACCAAAGATGAGATACCCTGTGTGGCCTGAATTCTTCCAGCATCAGAAGGCCTCTGTCTGCAAAGCAGGTCTGTTCTGCTGGACTCTGCCATTCCTAGGAAGTTCTCAGGTAAAGCAGAAGTCAGTTGTGCATCACTGCAGATTCAGGGCTGGCCTCCACACCATCGGTAATCAAGTCCCCCTTAGGAGCTCCTTCTCCAAGCCGAACATCTCTGGCTTCTTCTCTCATCCCTAAGGTATGGCTTCAAGGTTTCTTGTGACCCTACAGTGTGTACTTAAATCCCAAGCAAACCCACATCATGGTGGACTGAACTAGGAGCTAGCAGCCTTTGGGAAAAGTATGGAAATTCCTGAGATGATGCTTAAAGTCTCCTTAATTCAGGGCTCTCAAGTTCAAATGCCAAAAGGCAAGTGATACACATGAACGAAGCTGTTGCTGTTGGGTACTGTCGAGTTGATTTTCGACTCCAAGATCCCGTGTGGCAGAGCAGGCTGCATCATAAGGTTTTCTAGGCTGTAACATTTATGGAAGTAGAGCACCAGGTCTTTCTCCCATAGAGCCGCTGGGTGGGTTCAAACTGCCAACCTTTTGGTTAGCAGCCAAGTGCTTAACTGTTGAACCACCAAGGTTCCTTATAAATGAAGTCCAAAAAAACCAAACTCACTGCAGTCAAGCCAATTCTGACTCATAGCAACCCCCTTTGGGTTTCCAAGGTGGTAAAATCTTCACGGAAGCAGATTGCTCCATCGTCCTTCTGCAGAGTGGCTGGTGGGTTTGAACCACCAACCTTCTGGTTAGTGGTCAAATGCCTTAGGCACTATGCCACCAGAGCTCCTTATGAATGAAGCAGGAGGTGATAAAATAGGGAGCGGAGGGGCTGTGGATGAACAGTGTGCCTGCACTTCCACTCACCTCCAGGGACTGTGGCCATGTGGAAATGAGGCCCAGAGTGGCCAGATCTTTGGACTTTTCAAGAAAATCTAGAAATTCTCACTCTTTAATACAAATTTTTGAGTACTGAGACCCTTTTTTTTTTTTTTTAAATGTTTGACAATATAGGTTGAAATCAACTACATTTGGAGGCCAGACCTGGCTGAAGGCTGTGTCTTTGTGACCTTTGCTTTAAATAATTGCTTGAGCGATTTCTAAATTAAAGTTTATGTATTTAGTCTTAGAAATGTGTACAGATACATTGAGAGCTGTGGGTATACAAAGGCAGAATTTAAATCTGAAATGAAACTAGAACGCTAGAGTTAAAAATAACTTTGAGGCATAAATCGCCAAGGAGGGTGAGTGTAACACCAAAAAGAGGGGACATTTCTAACCAGGAGCCAAAACCGAAGGCAAAGAGCCACTTACCAGTCAACAGATCCATCGACAGCAAGACCTGGAACAAGCTGGGATGTTTGTCTTTCAGTTCTTTCTGCCAGGGGAAGGCTCTGCAAGTCAATGGGCTCCCATACCTGTGCTTGAGGTCCAGGTAGGGGTTCCGGAGGTCACCTACACAGAAAGGAAAACACCCCTCATTGTTGTTGCTTCTCAGCTGTCATCAAGCAACCCCCTACTCATGGGAAACCCATGCACAACAGGAAAAAAAATGCTGCTCAGTGCTGTCCATGTCCCAGGTCACTTGAAGACGTGACTTCATGATCCACAGGGTTTTCGTTGGCTGAGTTGGAAGTAGACTGGCAGGGCTTTCTTCCTAGTCTGTCTTAGTCTGGAAGCTCCCTGAAACCTGGTCAGCAACATAGCACCATGCAAGCCTCCTCTCACAGACAAGTGAGGGCTGCATATGAGTTGCTCTGACTGGGAATCGGATCTGGGTCCCTGCATTGTTGTTGTTGTTAAGTGCCGTCGAGTCGTTTCCGACTCATAGCGACCCCATGCACAGCAGAACGAAACACTGCCCGATCCC